TATAGACTGGTAGTAGCACACAGAAATAGAGTTAAAAAATTAATAAATTATAAAGTAAAATTATTTACTTTTGTAGTTGAATACTTTTATCATATCAAATTTAATTCGACAATAAATAATTTAAGAATATTAAAAATTAATGATTTTAATTGTTTGTATGGACAAATCTAGTTAAGCTACTTTTTATTTGAATAAGGAATATTTTTTTGATTTTTAAGAGTAATAACTTAAACTAATCATTAACTTAAATATCATAAACTTAAATGAATCATTTGACGTATCGTTGAAAAAAGTAGGTCTAGTGAGGGTTGGCAAAATAAATCGTAGCCACAAAAAGAACCACATAGTAAAATAATATCAACATGAATATCAATTTCTTCTCACGAGGGGAGACTATAGTGATAAGATCCTTTATATTTATTGAAATTATTGAATCTAAATGAGATAAATATCAAATGATTTGAAAATTCTATTCTAACTCAAAAAAAAAATGCAAAATTTTAGAAGCCACAAACGGATTTGAACCTCGTACCCTAGGCGTTAAANTATTGAGAGCCACAGACGAATTTGAACCTCGTACCCTAAGCGTGAAAGACACAGGTGTTACCTATTCATCAACTGTTCGTTGCTTTTGTTGCATGATAAAATTGGCTATTTAAGCTAACTCAAATTTAAAAATTACTTTTTCGACTTTAAAAAAGTGAAAAAAATTTAATAAGTTTAATTTCATATGTCTTATGAACTTTATTCTATGTCAATTAAATTATGTAATATTCATGAAAGTCAGTTTATTCCCCTAATAAGATATTTTAAAATAAAATAAAATACAAAACCCAGAATTTTAATAAAAAAAATAGCATATTTTTGATTATGGTAGCCATTTGCGCATAGAAGATATGTCGTCGGGACAAATTTTTTTTTTTCATTTAATAGTACATAAAATAAGCTTTAATTTGATATATGTTTAAAGGACGCAGTATATCCGGAACATTTTCAAAAATTAAGTTGAAAAAGTTAGTTTTTGTAAAAAAGTTGCTATTTTAAATCCCCCCTGTGAGCAGAATAAGTGTTAGATTTTCAAAAAAAAATGATATCAAATGAAAGAAAATTACCTAAGGTTTCAATATAAAGAAATATTATTTTGATTAGTTAATATTTGAAAAAGTTATGGCAGTTTTAAGTACAAAAAACATCGTTATAAAAGGTGATTTTTATCGCAAATATTACATTTTTTTTATAATTTCGACAGCCATTTGCACATAGAAGATAAGGTGTCGGGACAAATTTTTTTTTTTCATTTTATAGTACATAAAAAAAGCTTTAATTTGATATATGTTTAAAGGACGCAGTATTTCCGGAACATTTTCAAAAGTTCAGTTGAAAAAGTTCTATTTTTTATACAATGTTTCAAAGTTTGAACCCCCCCTATATAAGGGGAAATTGTCTAATTTTAATAAAAAGTATGTCAAATGGAAGATGTACTTATAATGTATTTAGAAAAAAAAAAATTGTGCTGATACATGCATTTTTCGAAAAGTTATAGCATTTTTAAGTTGAAAATTAAAAATTGAAAATCGAAAATTTTAACACAAAAATAGTGTTTTTTTAACTACGGCAACTGTTTACATGCAGAAGATAAAGTGTCGGGACAAATTTTTTTTTTTCATTTTATAGTACATAAAATAAGCTTTAATTTGATATATGTTTAAAGGACGCAGTATTTCCGGAACATTTTCAAAAATTAAGTTGAAAAAGTTAGTTTTTGTAAAAAAGTTGCAATTTTAAATCCCCCCCCATGAGCAGGTTAAGTGTTAAATTTTCAAAAAAATTATATCAAATGAAAGGAAAATATCTAAGGTTTTAGTTTAAAAAAAAATTATGTTGATTNGAGGATAATATCTAAGGTTTTAGTTTAAAAAAAGATTATGTTGGTCTGTTGATTTTTGAAAAAGTTATGGAAGTTTTAAGAAAAAAAAGTGAAAAAAATGACAAAATTTGTCGATTTTTAAATTTGTAATTTTTTTGGATATTTCCCCCATTTGCGGGG